CTATCTCGAACGAAGTTTTATACCCTTGAAAGAAAAAACCATAAATTCATCTGCCCTGAGAAAGAATATTGTCCTTGCAAATTTGCATATCTTTCTTTTTGGTAGATGTCCTACAACAGTTTCGTTTTTCTGTACACACACTGCAAATCTGTCGGCTATGTTGTTTGGATCCATCAAGACTTGGGCTGCCAGATAGAATGATAATCGTGCTACCCTTTGATAAAAGAATTTACTTCGAATTCAATTATGATTAAAATGACTTATTTTTCTACTACTGCTTCTTTGACACCAGCAAAAGAAACAAAACCATTTTCGTTTGCCATTATGCTATGTAAGAGCACTCCAAAATATAATTCAAACTTCATTAATGGACTATTTTAGTTCAGTTGGATGATTAACAAAGCTTTGGAGATAAATTTACTCTTTTCCTTGATTTCTATTCCACTTTTAAACACAGATGACCCCTTTTTGATAAAAAATATCCTGAATGCTGATATCTCGAAGTCTCGCTATGTTGAACAAATTTTCATTTTCCGTGCAAGTTCGAGAAAGTGGGACTCGACTCGATTACGTGTACAGTATATCTATTACGCCTCCTTTGCTTGCGTGAGTCACAGACATGAATCGATAAACACAGTGGCGGTGCCAAGGGGGGTGGAGAGGGGGTAATTATCCTCCCATTTTGTCGAAACATGGTCTATATATTTCTTCTAAAACGGATCAAAAGCGTTAGGTAGGGGTAGTTCATATTTCCTAAGGAAAATCAACCTGGTACAAAGGAGGCAAACGTTGAAAGGAGGCAAAAGGGGCGCGGTCTCACTGGCCCACTGCTGGCCGCACATATTTCCCTCTCATTCTGCAGTAGCTGGTGCAGCCATTGGATAAACGGTAACGTTTAAAATGTGCTGCTGCCTGAGATGAAGTGATTATATTTTTAGCAGGCAAAAAGCAGCATCATTTGACAAACAATGTACCACATTTACCAATATTTGTGTGAATTCATCGAGCATCAAATTTCTAGATTTGCTTTAGACTGGTCTCTTTGCATAGTGGTAATTCTGTTTAGTTTCTAATTTATGACTTTGTTCTCTGTTGAAACAAATAGTTCTTCTGGTCACAGAATAAGAATTTCTACCTATTCTGTGTTCTGGTCACGGAAGTCTAGCGATGTGACAAAACGGCAGATTTAGCAATGTATAAAATAAAAGATATGGTTTTAGGAAAACTTGTTTCTATCGAGAGGAGCGATGAGGTCCACCAATTCTATTTTAAACAATCCTTTGGTGGTGTAAAATTGAAAATAGTTTTGAGAAAGCAAACATTTGAGTAAACAAAAGCTTTTCGTCTGACACTCTTCAGAGTTTAAAACGTCAGAACATAGACACTCTTCAGAGTTTAAAACGTCAGAACATTGTGTCAGGCATCAATTCAACATGCCTATAGGCGCGGACGTGCCTCGTCAACCAAAATACGTGCTTGTTGGTTTCAATGGCGTGCCTCGACTTTTCATGCAGCTAACTTAAACACTGAATGTTTCGTGGATATGATCGCTGATATATTTCATACTGTTGCAAAAACGGTAAAAAAACAACAAAAACATAGGAAGGCAAAACTCAAATACACTTTTTTCCTTCTATAAGAACTATTTTATAATAACACGAGCCTCAAAATTGGTCAAAATTTAAGAACAAATTAAGAACAAGCTGAGACTTTAAGAACAAGCCGAGTTTCTGCAAAATGAATGCAATTTGGAACAACATTTTATCTCAAAAATGAGATTTTTTGGTCATGTGTGGGTGCTTTTTCGCTGAATATTCAAACTCTCGGCAAATGAAGGCTGTCTCACTCACTTTGTTGGCAAATGAGCCCTGAAAATCTCCTCAGAGCGCAATAGCTAGTAATTGCACTGCTTACACCCTATTAGTTTAAGAACAAATTAGGAACAATCGAGCCTCAGATTTCGAAATAAAAATAAGAACAGTCAGCCTGAACTTGAATTTACTGGTTCTTTAAAAAAAAGAGGTATACAAACAGTCATTCAAAAACAAAGTTTCAGTTGAACAACATGCATAGCCGTAAAGTTATACGGCGATACCCAACAACAGCCTGGGCCCAAGAACCAAAGTTTAAGAATAGCTTCTTGTGATGTTTTAAAGTTGGAGTTGCATCTTATTTTATTCAGTACGTCACATTACACCAGGAAACAATGATGTTTCAGTATTTTTAACTCAGTTTTGCAGGATCTTTCAGAAAAAATCATCAGATTTGAAAAATTCGAATGTCAAAATTTTGCTGACCGTGCATTTATCACGCTTTCTGAAACATTACTTCCGGTCATTTGCCGGAATGCATCCAAGACTTTAAATGATCAGTGGCCTTTACTTTCATGACGTAAGCTTTAAAAATTTCGGTTAGGCATTTTGCTAGATGGTTATGCGAAATTCCCTGTATGTTATATAGGGTTATAAACGAAATTACGGACTTGTCGTCACATTTAGCTTAGCTGTGCTCGTCCAAAAAACCTTTAAATTAATCCCTGGTTTATGTTCTGACGTTTTAAACTCTGAAGAGTGTCAGAAGAAAAGCTTTAGTTTACTCAAATGTTTGCTTTTTTCAAAGCCATTTTAAATTCTAATTTCTTCCAGCAGTTTTGGCCTTTTAGCGCCCATGATTTTAACAAGACCGTTTTGTTCGCTTTAGCATGCTTTGCCCAGCTATCTTAGAAAAATTGCACGCCCCTAGAAAGCGAATTTCTTCCTGACAGTTTTCCCATTTCATCTTCATCATCATGGCTTCTCATGCATGGCTCTTTAACCTAAACCTGCACCACTGTGCGAACTTATCACGAAGCGATTCAATATTGCCATTCGTACTAAGTACTAGATAAAAAGCTCTACAAATAATCCATAAACAAACCCTGAATAACACACTTTTTAATATTTCGTTAAATGCTAACCTTCCTTATCCGGAAAATCTACTTTTCTGATTTGTAAAGAAAAGGTAACAAGTAACCCTCTCTGTGATTGTGTCGATGCTTTTATCAAAAAGAAATGTTGGTTTTATCGTCTGTTTCTAAAATTGCAAAGAGGCTTCAAGACGGTTAAAAAAAACATGCCCTTAATTTCCATTCACAATTCTTATGTGCATTTCGAGTTAGTGATTGCAACTAAAATGCACTTGCACCCTCAAAAAGCCCTTAAGTAAACAAGGTGTTTTTTGCAATGAAAGCTTCTGACTGCTTAAAAACGGTAACGTTACCGTTAACATAAGTTTTGATAGCAAAATACAGTGGCTGTGGTTTCCATATGAAGGCATTGTGATTGAGCAAAAGCTATTTTAGTGAAAGGAAGCAGTGGATAACAGGGACGGATCCAGAGCAAATTTGAAGGAGGGGCAGTTGAAAGTGTGGGCGCTGAGTAATGTTTAGAAAATGGTGACGAGGGTATGCTGTATACAACAACTTCAAACCCAAGCTACTGACAGAAGGCTCTCTATTTACTTTGTAAGAAAATTTTCACAATAATTTTCGTATACTTTGAGGCAATCCTTGAAGTAAATTAACCATTAAGTCTTTTTTACCTGATTCTAATTCTTCAAAAGGGGTGCACAATTTTCAGAAAAGAAGTGCTAGATTTGCTATTGATTCAAGGCCCTTAGTTGCCCCCCCCCCTTAAATCTGCCTTTGATGAATAAACATAAGTTGGTTCTTCAGTGCTTTGAGCGAAGCAGTAATTGGTGTGCCACAGGGTTCAGTGTTTAGGCCGCAAATGTTGAGCATAAACACGGGTGACAGCCTCTTTGGCTTGCAAACACGAGAAGGAGTCCAGCGTGATTTAATTTCCCTTGACAGAATTTTGTAATTATTCACCAGACAGTGAGTTATTTTTTTATCAAAACAACAATCTCTTTAATATTTTCCAAAGAGAAAGAGATCGTCATATAAGATAAGAGCTAAAAAAACCTAGTTGAATTTAACTTAAACTCAAACCCTCTCAATCATCGAGATATGATAGAAATAACACTTTTGCGGACATATAATACAAAAGTGCTGGCAATGGAAAAGTCATATGAAAGTTTATCATCTCCATATTTGGCTTATAATTTGAAAAATCTTGAATCTTGGGCTTTTCAAAGAATCATGAGTCAACACTTTATCGAAGCCCCTATAACCTCAAGAGGAATCGTGCTCTCTGGCCTCAACTATGGCAAAATAAAGTGGCAGATGTTTGTTGTTTCCCAAATGAGCACATAATTTTCTTAATGCGAATGACTTGGACAAGACTGAAGAAAATTCTTAAGAATACAACCATATTACGACAGAAAATAGGCCATAACATCAACGATTTGGTTGCATATACATGTTGATACTAAGTAAAGAAGGGGCACAAGCTGAGGCTAACCTACAGTAAAATGCAATTTGGAACATCTCAGAAACGAAGATTTTTAGCCATCTGTGGGTGCTTTCTCGGTGAATATTTACGCTTGGCGGCAAATGAAGGTTGCCTTACTCACTTTGTTTGCAAATGAGGACTGAACACCTCCCTAGAGCGAAAAAGCTAGCAATCGCACTGCTTACATCCTATTAATTTAAGAATAAATTAAGAACACTCTAGCCTCAGATTTTTGGAAAAATTATGTTCAGTCAGCCTGAATTTAGATTTACTGGTTCTTATAAAAAAAATCTTGTTTCGAAAACACCTTGTGATTGTCTATGACAAGATTAATCTAACAAAGAGACTGTCTGACCCAAACCAAATAAACTTTCAAATAGTCGATAACCTTTTATGGTTGAGTTGAGTGTTTTGCGCAAAATCTAGGTTTTTATCTCCGATTAGAGACTCGACACATTGTAAAATCTAGTATTCTTTGCAAAAATTTATGCGACCAATTGTGATGCAAATTGCAACTTTCATGTTGGTTTAGTTTTGTATGCTCTGCGATTGGGATTTCTTCAGAATTAGAAATCGAATAAAATAGGCAGCCAATCTTCTCGAAGAATATACTGTTGTTTTGTCGAGGAACTCAAAACTGTTAGCTGGTAATATAGAGTATTGCTGGTGATAAAGAGAATTGCTTAAAACCTATTCTACCAACCAGCATGTGTTTGTAGATTCGATCAAAGAGTGTGATTCGCACACTACGCAAAGACATCATTCAAACCAGCCACCTGCTACATGAGTTTCCTTCTTGTTTTCGATAACGTGATTAGGCCATCATTAAAGGCAGACACAAATTTCGACTGTTTCCAACAGAAAATTTTTTATTTGCACATTTTCTAACATTTTCCTTTAAGATGCTGAAATATTTTGATGCTGAAACATAGCTTGAAAAAGAAGTTTGCGAAGAGCCTAAGCGCGATGCTGGTGACAGTTTGTTGAAGCCATGTGCCCTTAATGGCGAAATGCAACGAAAGTCAAAAGATCATTTATGCCTGATATAGCATGTTAAAAATTAAGCTCCGATCAAGGAAATCAGAGTAAACGTGAATTAAAATCATCCAAGAGGGATTTGGAAAACAGAAATGGTACATAATAACACACACAAAGATTTCTTCATTACGGTGTTTAATATTGTATAAAGGTCACTCACACACAATTCGTGATCAAGAAGAAGGGTAAAGGCTTTTTACGTTTTATTTTTTTATATTCTAGTGATTTTAATGGCTGTCAATAACAAAAGTTAAACGATGAACAGAGAAAAGGCTAGGTCCTGATTGTCGTACAAGCATCGATATAACCTTAGAGCAGACACATAGGCGTTTCTTCAGGAACAATTTTTCGTTTTCGACTAGGCTTTATCAATTGCACGGTTTTTAAAATCGCTCACGCAGTTATTACATTTTTGCGTACTTTTTAACAAATTATAGCGAAATCACACTTGTAGCGACTAGAATGGGGTGGCTTTGAAGAAATACCCCCTTTTGGTGCCATTAGAAGCATAAAACTATAGCCGTGTCATTCTTTAAAATCCTTGCAAGCAAATAGAGCTGAAACTCAGATTTTCTGAATTATAAAGCTTATATCGAACAATAAAACTTAGTAGTATTGGATTCTAAAGCGGGTTCTTAGCAAATTACTTTGTTATCAGCAAATTACTTTGGCTTAGTTATCTTGCATATAACTAGGTATCGACTTTAGTGTAGCCTGAGCAGTAATATTTGGAGGTAAGCCTAGCTGAGGGGTCTTTGGTGAAATTTTGTGACCATACCCTTTTGGGACTCTCATAAAGGCCCTCATATGGAACTCTTGCGTGTCAGATCGCATACATCAGCTCTCCTTTGCGTGACGCCCTTGAACGGCTAAACATATAACCATTTTGCTTATGTCATTGGCTTATTACCCTGGAAACCTCCGTCACATAAATTAGAAGGCGAAAATAGAAGAAGAGGAGGGTTCTGCTTCTCTCTCCAAAATTCCGCCTTCGAATTTAAGTCGGCTTATGTAAATTTGCCCTTTTCTCTGCCACCAGCTGATTATCATAGGGGGGGGGACTGGCCCCCATTGCTGCGCTAGTGGTTACAGAGCCTACAGAGCTTCACCCAAACCCTTTCCTATATATGAAACAAACAAGACTGTTATATAATGTCAGTTTTATCATCGCTCCATTTTAGGATTGAAGATGCAATCGAGTCCAGAGAAAATCGAGGTTTTTGCAAAAGATCCGGATCAGTGGCATTGCACGACGTCATCATCATGCAAACGAAGCTGCCTCCTGTTTTTCATTACAATCCAATTTGCAGTCATATGCGCCCTTTGTATAACTCTTCGCTCTTTGCAGAACAATGTTGAGCCTAGAATCTTACGAAATCAAAATTTTTATGACCGTACTTGGAACCAATTGCCAAACAAGATGGAAAGATTGAATGATAATCCTGTATATCAGCGGTTTAACATATCACGCAAGATGGTCCGTTCAAGGATCAATCTTCTAATTATTGTGTCATCTGCGCCACGTCGAAGTGACAGGAGGACGGCTATACGAGAAACATGGTGGAATGACCACGAGACTAATGACAAGGTGGAATCTTAATCTGTTTTTTAAATGAACCTTATGAATGACAAACAATTTCTTTGCCAAAGAATTTCTTCAACTAAAAGAAATGAAAACTTCAGTATCTAGCCAAACTAACAAATTAGCCTAAACTAACAGAAGAAAATTTAATGTGAATAAACTTGCAGTGGGTAGAATGTTGAACTGAAGAAAAGGTTATGGGGGCATTGTTCTCCTTCCGCAATGAAGTCTAGAAAAACCCAGTGTGTTTTGGGTCACGCATTTCAATAAAAACATTGCTTCTTTGCTGATACGTGCCCTTTTATTTTTTACTTCTTTTACATTATGTGGTAATTTTTAGTTTGATATTACAAAAACTCTAAAGCAAAAAATTCTAGCCCTTCTTTACTACCATATTTATCATAGATAAAAGTCGTGAGAAAATTCTTCACTGATGCTCCAAAAAACTCAACTGAACAAGGCCGTGCACTATTGCAAGAACAGAAGCTAAACGAAGACGTCATATTTCAAGACCTCAGTGGAGGAGTCGAGTTCGGCAAACGGTTTTTGTATCACATGGTTTGGGCCATGCAGAACTACGAGTTTGATTACTTCTTAAGGATGGACGATGATTATTTCTTTTGCCTCGAGCGATTTCTACACGAGCTTCCGATGCCAATGCGCCCCATGTACCACTGGGGATACGTACACTGCCTTCCAAACATTGTTCGACCCGAGGAAAGTGTAATTTTATTCTCACGTGACCTGGTGGAGAAATTTCTTAGTCAAAATCCAGGAGAAATTAAGGGCCACCCTTGGGCAGATCAAATGATAGCAACATGGGTTCAAGATCTGAAATTGAACAATCTATATAACCATGACAATAGACTGTATCATCATCCACCATTAGGAGACAATCTAAGTTTTATCAAAGAGAAGTTTAAAAATGCCTGCAGAAAATACATTGGTGTACATGGAAGCTATCCAGAACATATGAAGTTGCTTTGGAAATTGAGAGAAGGTAAAGAATATGCTGGTGTCGAATTAGATGAATACACAACAAAATGTGGCTTGCCGCAAAACTTTTTGTGGGATGCATTCACTGACAAATGGAAGTATAAGCCGAAAAAGCTAATTTCAGATCCAAAATGGGACACATACAAGCAAGATCTTGATAAACATGTCTATGTAGGAAGACAAGAAGGAGAGGGCTGACAGAAGTTAGGAGAAAAGATCTCTTCGGAGTCAGTCCCTCATTTTTTGAAAACTTTGTGAATCAATTGGTTGACTAGGAGGTATACAGGGCTCACAAAACGAAGGTTGTTTGTCCTTCCTTCTAACATGAAGCTATTTCATGGATCGAATAAGACAGCTCATTTAAAGCAAGAAAAAGGAATTTTGAATATGGACAAAGCTTCAAAATGTTGAGAAAATAAAGACAAAGCATCGAAATACATAAAAAAACCATATCCTTATTAGAGTGCACGCAGGCTACAAAATACGTCGGCAAGTTGCCATAAAATTTCCATAATAGAAATAAAGCCTCTGCATTTGTATACTGCATGCTCTTAAGATTCAATAAAGATTTTAAAAAAGAGGAAAACCAGGAGTTTTGCATAGCTTTTAGTGAGCTTCCTCACATCACATATGTCAAACTTGGTTAGCCCCGGATGCATTCGCACTTGCGCTTGCAAAAATCATCAAATCATTATGAAAGAAGTTTCCCACCTGCTTTGCTCTATTTTGTACCCAAACTATTCGCACGAATTTTCTAAGCTCAGATAAGGGTTTACCAACATGACTTTTGTCTATTCAAAAATTTTCATCTTCCCACTTGTATTGTAAAAATAAACTTATTAAACTTATTAAAAATTAAAAACATGTTAATTCTATATTGGCATAAAATCAAAGCCACGAGCACAAGAATCCTGTAAACTTAGATGTAGACTATGATATCTGGTCCTTTATTCGAATCTGAAGTCAAGGATGTAGTGCAAAGAGGTTTGAAGTATTTTTCAAAACAAGGCCATAAATTGAATAAGTGTAGTGTGGTTCCATTCTTTGTCAGTTGAACCTGAGAGTGTTGATTTGGATACGAGGCTACCCTCGATATCAATCGTAATCTCGTTCGGAACGCCTTTATGTGAATTGGCGTTTAGATGTTGAGAGGCTTTTTGAATTGAACGTCGTTATGTTAGGATGTATTTTGGACACGAACGAAGGATTTTGATGTTAATGATTGAGCTTATATATCAAGATGTATCGGAATGATGCAAATTAATATCCTGGTATTTCATAATAATTTGAGTTTCAATCTGAACCTTAACACATTAAGTGTATTTTGGGAGCCAAACCCCTGAAAACTCTCTTTGAAGTAGACGAAACGATAAGGCTCTGTTGCACCTATTATTATGGCTTAGTTTCCTTTCACAGCTAAATTTCTTATTTATTCTGTAAAAAAAGTAACATAAAACAAAACTTCTTTTTAGATATTTGCGTTTCTATTCCACAGTGAAGGAAGATTACAAAGACTCTACAAAAAGTTCACTAAACTGCATACATTCTTTATCCAGGACAAGATGATAAATCTGTATCACTTGCAAGATTTGAAATTTTTAAAGACTCTAGGATACCGTTACTTAAGTTCTTGCTTTCAAATAACAAGCAACAAGCTCCTTAACTTCGTTCAGTTGACAAGCCAACCGTTACTCGGCATTGCCCGCCAGGGGCGTCGTTTAAGGAGGGCGCTTACTCCCCATACTTTGTTCGTCGGCATATTGTCCGTGTTTCGGAACTTTTATCTTACCGTGTAGTATGATTATAAATTTTTTGAAACAGTTGTAACGTGCTAAAATTTTTGTAGCAGCTTAACCTTCAAAGTATGCACTGAAAATACAAATAGAAATTTTAAAATTCTGAATAATAAGTTAGAAACCCATAGAAGCAGCATAAAAAGTTACTTATTTTGTGACCGCACCCAAAAAGAATCAGACACGCCCTATTTATCGGCAAAAGTCAACATTTTTTTGGCTTCGCCCCTGTTGCCCGCCCAACTTTTCAGTGCTGGCTTCATACCTGGTGTATTCATTGGAGCACACTTTGGAGAATTTCATGGTGGGGGGGGGGGGGAGGTGGGGTGCTGGCATATTGAATAGGATAATGTAATTCTCTTAGGCCAATTTTGATCCAAATTGAGTATGTATTTTCCAATCTAACATTTTCAATCATCATTCTGATATTCTGACATATTACTTTTCAAAAACGTCCAAACCACCACATTCATCTATCTCCACCAAGACAATCATGGGCCAGGCCATAGAGAAGTATAAAAAATGGTCCAAAATGCTATCCAAAGGCTAAACGAGCCACTCAGTTTTCTGTAGCTACAGAGTACAGAAAGTCTTAACACCTTTAAAAATTCTCAAACTATTTGTATGGTATGTGTAATAGACTACCGCAGGAGGATGCAAGATTAAAGTGGTATGAAAAGCATCAAGTTTCTTATTCGGATTCAAAGACAACAAAGGATTTATACAAAAATAAACAAATTGCCAAGAAATATACAGTATATACCTGAAAATGTGCTAGGGGCCATTTTGCATTGGCACCAGCCCCCCTTTTGTATTGTCGACCTGGTATCATTAAGAAATCGAGTGAATGTTCTATTTTATATTTTCTTCTAAAATCGAATCTAAATCAAACAACTTCAGATCTGAACCAAGTTAAGTGGAAAAAACCTAAAGTCATCGGGTCCCGACTGCCTATGGTACTTTTGGTGCAAAAATGTTGATACTCCCAACAGTGCTGAAACTAGAAAATTAAAACAGAAGACATTCTGACATAAAATACCATTTAAACAATTAGCGAAAACCAACATATACGTTTCAGCTTCACGTATTGCATCATATTATGTAGAAATGTAACAGTGTGTTTCTTTTTAGCCATTTTGTTTTCATTTCAGCTATGTCGTATCAGAGAATTTAGAAAACTATCACATGTGTCGTGTATGCAATATATTCATTAACATTCGAAGATAGAATATATTTATCTGTTTTGTTGCAATGTATACTTCAAACTTGATAATTGAATTAGAAACACAGAGGATTGATGTTTTCTTCAATGATCCAGTGGGTTGAACCATTTGAAAATCGGTCCTTAGTGATTGTGTCTGGATAGTTTTAATAATTTCTTGTGGTGGGGCAGAAATAAAAAGGTCCTCCTTTTTCAAAATATATACAGAATCATAAATCAAAATCATGTCGCGTCGAATCCGTGCCGTTTTGCAAAGTTCCCGTTACGTGGAAACGTTGATTGGTAAAATTGAACTTGTTATCGCCACCGTTGCTTTTTGGATATTGAAAAGCCAAAACTACTGATTTTTCTTCATAAATACTGCTACTGCTAATAAAGTTGTTGTTCTTTATGTGAAGCAGAACTTCCATAAAATCTCGTAGTTTTACACTTTGATTGCCTAAACCACGAGCTTCTGATAGCAGAGAAGCCTTAATGTATATTCATAGCTATCTAGACAAGAGGAAACAAAGAATGAAAGTATAAATTGCTCCTTCAGTGAATGAAAAGAAATCGACAACAGTGTTGCACAAGGGTAAGTTCTAGGGCCTCTCTTATTTGATATTTACATTCACGATCTGCTTTTGTTTGTACCGGACATAGAGATATGCAACTATGCAGAAGCGACATTAACCCCTCACATGTTCTGTGACAAAAGCCTAAAGATAAACCATATACATGAAGTCACTGCGTATCGCATACAAAAACAATGTGTCAGATTTCGATACTCTCCTGATTGAAAACAACTGTGTCTCCATACACAAAAGAAACCTTCAACTACTAATGGTTGAGATCTACAAAACTGTACATAAACTCAATCCAAGCTTTATGAATGAAATATTCATACAAAAGAGTACCGCCTTAGAAACAGTAAATTTATGCAACTCCCAAAAACTCGAACCATCACTCATGGAATCGAAAGCTTGTCGTATTTAGGATGCAAGCTCTGGAACAATCTACAAGAAAACTTGAAAAACCTAAATACTCTTAATACCTTTAAAGTAGAGATCAAACATTGGAAGGATAATTACAGCTGCAGGCTATGTAGAACCTTTGTAGCACAGGTCGGGTTCTTGACATGAATTGTCTAACATTATTATTTTCAACTATTGATCTAATTAAATCCTAGGTATATAAATTTATTTCTTTAAATAGTTTTTATATGACTGTATAATATTATCAATTTAATTCCTAAAAATAGTAGGCTTTAAGTAGCTTACCTTTTAGCTACTACTGTAAACAACGCTTACTGTAAATAAATGAATTATTATTATCATTATTATTATCATTATTATTCTTTGATTGGTTAACCCGAATGACACCTACAAGAAGGACAGACACCTTTAGGCAGCTGTATAAATATGATGATGCAATGACCACAGATCATTCCAACAAACGTCTATTTCAAACAATGTTAAACAAAATTTATTTGCATTGGTTGTGTTGCTAGCAGGTAAAACTTGTATTTCGTATTGCTCTCACACTATTTCTTACTGCTGACAATGCCAGTAGCTAAAACGAACTGATGATTTGTCAAAAAAATCAAAGAAGAGCCGAGCAATTTGATGAAGTATTAGATACAATGTTTACACCATAAATTAACCTACTTCAGGAGCAACTTTGTACATGTAAAATACATATTGTTATGATGTTTAGAGAAGAACGCACCTAAACTGATGAACAGTTATGCTCTCAATTTTTATAATTTTCTCATGCATAAATTTTTTTTTTAATAAGTTAGACTATATCAAGATAAAATAATTTCTTTCGACGTAAAACACACTGAAAACATTGTTTCGTTTTTGCTTGAACGAAGTATCCTTGGAAGTAGAACAAACATGAGTGCATACTTACATCAAACGTACTGGCTTCCGACTCTTAACGCCCGCAAAAAGACCTGTCTAGATATGGCATTTTTATTGGAATAATTGTAATTTGTTTATGTGAAAAAATTCATTAAGGATGATTGATGAACATATTCCTAAGACTTTTGGATTTGTTTGTTATGATCTTTGTAGATAGTAATGTACACCAACAAGCCAAAGTTCTCACCAGAAAACTCTCCACAATCTAAAAATTATTCTTGTTAAGGGCTTTTTTTGCCATAAGTCAAAGTCATAACCTTCCCATTCAAAACTGCCTTGAGATACCAAATGCGAGAACTGCAAATTATGGTATTGCATTATTCCGCTTCAAGTGAATGTAACTTGAAAAGGGCAAAAAATCTCAAACTCGCTTCCAGATAAAATCAAAACAGCCCAAAATTCTAAAGAATTCTAAACCTGTCCCTATGGAAATAAAGCGACATATTGTTTTTGCCGTAAATTTACAGCTTTATATAATCTAACCACTTGCTTCTTGTTAGACTGAAAAATTTTATCCACTATTGTAACAGCTACAATCCCGGATAGAAATGTTGAGACAAAATGCAGTTTTTGTAATTTTCTTGCCCCTGTAAATTCGAATCTCCCCTTTCCCCCTGAAGCAATGTTGGATTTGTAGTTCTATCATTTCTCCTTCAAAATCATGTATTCAACATTGAATTGGGGGTAGGGGAAAAGTTATTTTGTAATTGAAAGTGAAAATATAAGCTTTCCTTGAAAAGTCTCAACCATTTTTGTCCGGGATTGTAGTATCAGATTAACCATAAAATAAAATTAGATTTTCCATTATAAATTCCCTAAATCCGTGTAGATGGGTGCTTCTACTGATATTAGATGCCATGTAAAAATATAATTAAAAATCTACTTTTGTGAATAACTATTCCCAAAATATGGGGTGGGTGGGTGTTTTAGGTAATATGCTCTATTTTATTCTAGAGGCGTGCAAAAATGACTCCAACAGACTCTTTGCAACCATGAGAATTTTGTACAGAAAACATCCAAGTGATCTTCTCATAGAAAAACAAGTTGCAAACAATCAATCAAAGAAAACTGTAACAGCGTGTCCTAGGCAACAAGTACAAATCATCACAAACCACTTCACAAACGTTTTTAACAAACAAGATGAACCAGAGATACCGAGAGTCAAACCAGTCAAAATGAAAACTCCCTTCTCAGAAGAAGAGGTACAAAGAGCCATAAAATCAATGAAAAACAATAAGAGTGCGGGCATAGATGATGTTACAAGCGAACTGATAAAATATGGACCACTGAATGAAATCTCGAAAAGAATTGCATATTTACTTAATCACGTCGCAGAACACGGAGACACACCAGAGGAAATTCATAAAGGGATACTCGTTCCATTTCAAAAACCCGGAAAGCCAAAAGGATCCTGCGCAAATTTAAGACCTATCATCCTGCTATCAGTAATTAGGAAAATCCTCAGCATATGCATGATCAGGAGAACAACTGAAAAACTCGAGACCATCATCCTACTATCCCAAGCTGCCTACCAAGGCGGCCGAAGCACAACTGAACACGTCTTTGCATTAAAATGTTAATCGAAAAAGCAATCAACAGTCAAGATTACAACATATTTGTGACCCTGTTTGATATGTCCAAAGCTTTCGACACCATCAGAAGACCTCAACTTATTAAAGATCTAGGCAAAATATTAGACGACGATGAGCTACATATGTTTTACATATTTCTGTATAAAATGCAATACACGGTACAAGTTGGAAATGCAAGAGGGGAACCATTCGAAACCAACATAGGAGCACCACAAGGAGACTGCGCAAGCGCTCAAGAATTTACTTTCACATTAGCAGTTGCACTCATGCTGCAAAATCCAGATGCAATCACATTACCAGACCGGCCCAGAGTAAATCACAACCAAGATAAAGAAAACTTCAGCATTGATCTTCAGTATGCTGACGATATTGGCAATATAACCACCGACAAGAAACACAAGGACACTATAAAACAAGAACTCCCTTTGAAAGTCAAACAAAGAAACCTAAATATGAATACTGAAAAAACTGAAGAATTTTGTGTTGGCACAGATGGCAACGATGAATGGAAGGCCATAAAATATCTGGGAAGTATTTTAGACACCGGAAAAGACACAAAACGAAGGAAAGGACTATCCATTGATGCCTTCAACAAATATGAAAGAATTCTCTGTAACAGACAGACATCCATAAAACTAAAAATAAGAACGCTTAATACATTTATATATCCAATGCTGCTTTACAATTGCGAGATCTGGACCTTAACCAAGAAATTGGAAGAAAGTCTCGATATCTTTCAAAGAAAACTGCTACGTAGGATGCTAAACATCAAATTAATGGATAAAATAAGAAATGAAGAAATATATAAAAGATCACATCAGGCAACCATCACAACCGAAATAAAGAAACGGCGATTAAACTGGCTTGGGCACATGTTAAGGTTGCCAGAAAGAACACCAGCAAAATTAGCTTTCAGAGAACATTTGAAAAAAGTGAAGGGTAATCGGGGAAGACCAAAACAGACATGGATCAGACAAATGAATAAAGACCTGAAACCAATAAATAAAACAGTGGATGAACTAACTGAGAACGATTATGAGTGAAAGGAATGGAAGAAAACAGTGGCAAGGCTAATGTCTTGAATTAAGACGGAAGAGCCAGTAAGAAGAAGAAGAGCTCTATTTTATTGATTTCTTCAGAAAAGTGTTTATTCAGCATGTGTAACAAAACATAAAAAGATTAAAAGGTTAAAACTAAATTGTTTACACAAGGATTATTTCCGGTCTTTATTTACGGATTATTTACGTTTAAATATCCTCTATATGCACACAAATGAATCCCGTTGCTGTAAACATTATACCAGTCGACAAGCTGGGTCCATAAAATAAACATGCTGTCTCTAGGCAACATCATGTGCTTCAAGCAATTGCTAAGTAGTGGCTGAAAGAAAGATCGGGACAATGAATCTTTCAGTGCGGATCAGCTCAACTTCAGAACATCGTCTAAACGTCAAGGTAAGACGGACATTAGTTGATTCTTTACAACTTGTTTTACTGATTCCATGATTTGATTTCTAGATAATCTGCCCAATCACAAAATGCCTTTGACGAAGAGATATTTTTTCTCGTATACTTTGCAGGTGATTTTCCTCCTATTAAGCGTAATTCACATAAGCTTTTGCGAAGGAAAGAATTAAAGCAAGTAACCGGAAGGTGAAATTCAAAACGTCTATGTAATGGGGGCTGTGGCCAAAGGAAAATGGCGCACCACAAGGATTAAATTATCCTACTTGCTTATGCCATTTGTTTTAAAGAGAAGATTATCTATGGGTATTTCAAAAGTGTAAAAAAAAGTAAATGAAAAAATATTCATATGATCTACTTTATTTTGAGAGATTTAAAACTCGAAAGAAAGCTTCGGCATCAGTGAAATATATTGCAAAATTTAATTAGCCCCCTCTCAATTTACCCCCCCCCCCCTAATTTTCACTGATGCCGAAATAAGTAAACTTGAAAAAAAACAGAGATTTTTAACTCATTCATTGGTCGTTCAATTCTTCGCATTAAATCAAAATTCACACCATGTCTCTAGAATTAATAATTATTGACGATGATGATGACAATATTATTGATATAGAAGGCTGCGTTGATGTTTTTTATTTGCGTAAATAAGAAACAATTTTACCACTATCAATGGTTTTTTATTACAAAATATTCATTAAGCTCCCTCTCTCAAATTAGCCCCCCCTCTCTTATAAGCCCCCCTTTAAAGTGCTGAAAACAATAAGCCCCCGGGGGACTAAAAAGAAAATTTACGGTACTTTATTTTGAGAGAGGCCAATGCCTCTACATGGCCCCTATTGACTGCAGTTCTTTACCTGTACTTAAAGGCTTATCACGCATAAATATTTATCATCATTATTGTTTTTAGTTTAATGTTTACTCGGCTTGTTTGACTTAATTTTGGTTTATTTGACTACCTGCTAGCTTGACCAACTTCTCTATCGATATTCAGGCAGCATGGAGCTCAAATTGATTGGCTGAGAGCTTGCGTTAATCACGTGGTATTTATAACAGAGGGTGGTAAAAATGCCCAAATTTTGGTCGTGCCAAAGTTTGTTGACATATTCTGGAGCTGAGATTGATTATCTAAAAATGAAGTGTCCGAATATCTCTTGCCTGAAGCTTTTCAAGGGATTTCTCCCACTTATTGACCATACAAACAGTTGTATAAATAATTGTCAATACATTTATATATAGCTTTTGAACTCCCTTCTATATGTATAAACATGAAAAGGAAGTCATTCCCTCGAACAGAAAGGGTTGATTCAAATGAAGACATCGACCAATGACGTCATAAGACAACAACGACGTCTTGCATTATTGTCTTAAACCTTGTCAGGTTTGATATTTCAGTAAGTGAGGTATTTGGCCTAATTGAAACTGTTACAAAGCAATTTCTCATAGCGTGAGTTCATTCGCACATCCCCTCATTACATTGCCAGTATAAGTCTCTCATTTTGAAAAATTCTTCACTGCACCATGATGACAATGTTTTCTCAATTTGTCCTAAAATGTTCCAAATTCTGACCAACTGATTAACTACAGTTCTTTGACCATGTCCTTTCTTGTAATAGCTCCTTGCATCATGTCGCTTTTGTAGCCTAATCTTGTTTGCCTGTTCTGGATAAACGACCCATTATAACTGCAATGACACGTATCTAAATACACTACGGCTGTAAGATACACAAAATACAATACCATTATTCCTTTCAAATCAATACATAATCACAATATATTGCCATCAACGAAAATTTTTGTGGGTAATAGAAACAAATACATTTAAATAAAAAGCTGTCACTATCAGTGGCCTGTTACTGCTTTAACTGCAAGACACAAGCCTTCTCCACCATTTTCTTCTACGCCTACTCTTAAGGCCTTCTATATCTGACTTAAGCTCTTGAATGTTGTCTCGAAGCTGGCGGACTTCCTGTACCAGATCCAATTTAGACTGTTCCTCTTCTTCCAATTTTTGCCGCAAAGAAGCATTCTCTCTCTCTAGGCTGATGATGTCGGCTGCAAAGTCTTCATTACTCTTTTGAAGGGAGTTAATATCAAAACCCAGTGACATGATGTGCTCCATGTGTTTCTCTGTTTCCTCTACGCGGCATTGGCTAACTCTTAAGCATTCCTTTTCAAACAATCCTCTCTCTTCTTCAAGTTTTGAAATCTGAAAATTTAAGGTTTTCATTTAGTTTACTCTAGCTAGTGATTGAAGATATCTTTAATCCTGTCGCAGGACGTGGCTTGACTTGCTAAGGGTGCTTTTTCTAGTTTGGAAACTTTCATTTCAGAAACATTTGTTTGGAATATATAGATAAAAGATTTTGAATTAATTAAATACATTCGATTCCTTCCTCTTTTACCATTTAATATTCTACTTGTATGGAATTTGCAAAAAGGCGTTTGAATAGATCTATTTGAGATAGCAGAAGTGTTTTCATTCGTTAAAACCAATTTATCAAACTTTAAATTCGATTAACTTGACTCGAAATTTCCCTGTTGACAACTTGTCTCAATTAAGCAGCCTCAAAACATAAAAGAAGATAGCCGAAATTACTCATGCCACTTCGTAACATGCCTAAGAAAGAAGTAACTTATAATGACGACCATAATCGTTGGAGGCTTCTATTTGCTGCCAATATTGTAAACCAATTTCGTTTCCCTTCATCATCTTTGTCGTTAGAAACAAAACATCATACCTTTGAAGTCCATCCGGCCACTTGCAGGTCGGCCTTTTCTTGCCATTGCCCCAGACTTGTCGAAAGTTTTTCAACCTTCAATGTCATAGCTCGGAATTGTTCATTAGACTTATTCGCTGCCCTCTCCATGGCTTCCAATTTCTCCTCCATGGCAGCCATTTCATTCCTCATCTTGTTACCCTTCTCTGTTTCCTCAGCTAGAGCCCAGTCCTTTTCCTCAATCACCCTTAACTGTTTAGCAACAACCTCTTCAGCTGAAAAGGCGCGTTTCTCCATTGCTGCCAGTTTCTTAAGAAGCTTCTCATTTTGTTCAACAACTGACTTTAGCTACAAGATTGCACAGAAACAGTTTAATTCATTGCTACAGTGAGAAGATGTGAGAATACGATAATGCTACATCGATGTTAGCTCAAAATCCACAAAGACTCATATCTTATTGGACTTTCTTGATTAGGTAACTGGTACTGGGTAAATCTTTCGTTAAATCGCAACAAAATAAAGTTATAGCCTTGATTATTCGATCTGTAAATTATATATGCCCGCGTCTACATTTTGAAACTTTTACGTTTGGAGAAAAGTCAGTGTTTCTTATTTGCACATTTCGTTTTATTTTTTTACAAGATAAGGTACTGGGTAAAGGCAAAATCTTAACTAAAGAAGAGTTTCTTAAAAACATACTTGTATATCTTTCTTTTGAAATCTGCTTTCCACTGATTTTTCTTGTTCCTCAATAATCTCTTCCAATGAATCAATCACAGCTTGGCTGCTAACAGCTTTTGTCAATTCCCTTGCAACCAGCTCTTGATTTTCTGTTTTCAGATTCTCTATCTCTTTCTCTAATTCCTCAATCCTTTTCTTGAGGATATCTTCATTTTGATTGAGAACCTCTATTTTTGTTTCAAGATGGACCCTTTTCTCTTCATGCTGTTTTTGCAACTCCTGAGTTTATGAAAGGAAAGTGTATTTTAGCTGTTCGTCAAATAGATTTAAATGTTTATAAGCAAATGAAAATGAAATCAGTCCTTTGCTTTCTCTTTACGTTTCAGTTACGCTCTTCAGTTCTTTTTTTCTTCATAATTTGAATATTCTCCCATTTGATGTACCTATGAACATTTTGCGGCCAAATACAATTAAAATCATTTCCTTTTCATTTATCTGTTACACTTTCAGTTACGCTCCATTTCAAGCCATTTTCTTTTCAAATTTTGAGAATTCAGTCGTTCAAGGTAATAATTCCTCCGTTTTAGTCAGGTGAGCATTTCCTTTTTCTGATATAATTTTAATAATCAAATCATATGTTTGTTGCTAGAACATTCAGCCGTTCCTAATAGATTAATCATAAACGCTTTCGATAAAGTCTACAACCTTCTAAGATCAGTAAAGCATTTCCAAGTTACTGCTGATGTCAAATAAAGTTCATTAATAGTTCATTAAAGTTACCTCGGAAATGTAAGTTTTATAAAAGCACTTACTTTGATCTCATCTCCATGTCTTGCATTTGCTGTTGCCTGCTCTTCCTTAACAACATCTTGCAAAGCCTGAATCACCATTTCATTGCAAACAGACCTGATTACATCTCGTGTAGACAGCTCTTCAATTTTCGCATTAAGCTTTTTTACTTCTCCCTTCTGTTTCTCCTCTCTAGCGACCATTTCCTCAATTCTGGCTCTATTGACGTCAGGATCATCCTCACTTTTGTTTCCACCCTATCATAAACAATTTAATCATTGGCTACATTTATAAATAATCACCTTGCGGTACATCTACACAAACTGACATTGCTCCATTGCTTTTTTAGACCAGCGTTTAAAAGTATTACTGAAACATATTCCCCTTAGTTTCTAGAAGGAAATACTTTCAACTTTGATACTGGCCTTTATTGTTTCACGTGTGTGTACTTCAGTTTCTCTGGTTGTTTCTTCTTGAATTTCATTTTTAGTATTTATCCTAATTCATTCATTTTATATTTCCTTTTTTTATGTTTTCTCCTTTACCCTCCTCCTCCATCCACAGGCTCTTTTTTCTCTTTTTTAAGGCCATTAGTGTACGTAAGTGGCTTTTCCCTATCTTGAAATCACTTCATTTTAATTTATTCACTTTATTTTTCCCACTCTTAATTCTCCTTTCTTACTCTTCCCCTCTTTATACCTTAGACATTATTACTGTCATAACATTCAAACATTGTACATCAGAAGTTTCGTCTCACCTCGATGATGTCGATTCCGCTGTCGGTACTCTTTGCACGCTTTCCTATCTCAACCTGCGAGCTCTTTCTCGCTTGCTTGAGACAAGATTCATGAAATGCACGGCCTTTTCTAACCACCTTTTGCTCGTGGAGCATAGATATCTCCTTCTGTTTCTCAAATTTTTGCCGAATGGAAATGACCTGAAAAAGCACCGAGGATAAGTTCCGCGAAATTGTCCACAAACAATTCACCTTGAGGAACTCTAGTCAAAAGTTTGTAATAGTTGATTAACTACGATGAAATGAAAGTATCGTTGCCTACGAGTTACGTTCAAAATAGGTTGCTAATAGTTAATGTTTAGAAGCACACAAAAAGAATAATTACGAGAATACCAACCAACCTTTAGGCAAAGGTCCATTTCCGTTGAATTCTTCAGCTTTTCAATGAGAACTTGGTTGAAAGAGCGCAAATGTTCCTTGTCCTTTTCGACTTTGCACAACTTGTCTTCCAAAGAATGCATCGACTCCCTGAGCGTATCAATCTCGCTGCTGAAGTCATTTGCCCCATTGCTTTGCCTTCTACGCGAGGCTTTCGGCATTTTGATTGCGATTCAAAATACCACGATTCCGTCAAATCTTCTTTCTAAAGCACCTTATATCACACTTGAATAAACTCTGACTAACTCAGAACGATTCTTGCGATGAAGTAGAAAGATGTTACCTATGCCTTATCTTTAGTAGTAGTTACGCCGCGAAATTGTGACGTAAGATTAATTACATTCTAATTAATTGGGATCAATCCGAATATGAGACGTTATTTTGAAAGCGAGGCCGCTCCCGGAAATAAAATTATAAATGTAGGTCAGAATAGCAGATCCCGAAAGGCGCATTGCTTTGTACTCCTAAGAAAAGATTATAGAACCTTGTAGAGGATTGATGACTAGTTTAGCAACTCGCATTATGTTAATTTTTTAAAAGAAATCCAAAAAGAAAATTTCCCTTTTTTTTGCTGTCGGTTTTTGATAACGAAAAATTAAGAAGTTTTCAATAATGTAATAAACATCAACGGCGTCTTAAAATATACTGATTATTTTGCCCATCACCATTTACATCTATTTATTGCGGTTATTATTTTTACACTCTCAATGATTCTGCACCCATTGAGTATTGAGACTAAGCAGACAATAAACGTCTTACAGCCAGGGGTGTAGTACTAGGGGGCTCAGAGGGGCTCAGCCTCCTTGTTAATGCTCAAAATTGGCAAATTTCTACTTTCAATACTGTATTTCGCAACATTTTGTGCAAGAGTCCCCCTCGCTATTATGATAGCACTGCACCACTGCTTACAGCCAGCCATGTTTGATTTTTGTAATGCCCAAAATTCAAAATAATGAAAAGGCCTTTATATCTACTACCATGGACAATTTTGTCAACATTTTGCCTATTTTTAGAGCCTTTGGTTGCAAAAATCCCAGCTGTATGGGTAGAACAGAACCATGTCAATATTTTATTTTGCATCCCACTCCATCCCTTATAAATAATCAATTATGGCAGTTGAAAAAAATTATACCATTTACCTTCAGCACCAAAACTGCCCCTTCTGCCTTCATCTTGTGCAGGCGTCCCTGACTGCTGCCGTAAATCCTTGAATTGGCCTCCCTCGATTTGTTTGTTTTTGCCATCTGGGGTTGCCTTTGGCGTTTTATTGAATTACCACAAAAATTCATATTTTTGGTAATAATACTTTTTCATAAAGAAATTCCTACTAAAATAAACGAGGTATTTTATTAATGTCTTCTTTCTGTCTACTTTAATTTCATAAGCCCCCCTTGTATAAGCCCCTCTCGAATAACGCCCTCCAATCAAAAAATGTTAAAAACAAATAAGCCCCCAGATGGGGCTAATTTGAGGATTTACGACACATGTTTTCCTTGATTGTCTGACCTTTAAGAAGGCGGTTACTGGTTACGTATATCAAACTAAGAAATGAAACATGTATGTAAAGTAAATATTTGTCTAGTTAAAACGTAGTTTGTGACATATTTGTAGTGGTAGAACGATTTAGTGAGCAGAAGGAAGAACGACATAAACACAGAAAAATGAATGAAGCATGAGACCAAAGAGGGTACCTGTCGATAAAGGGTTAACGTTCATTTGATTGTTTGTGTTACTATTTATTTCTGATTGGAATCATTATGGGCGATTATAGCGTTTGTAAATTTTTCAATGCTAGATTTTCAAGAACGCTGCTCATGATTTCTCTAAATGTGATTGCTCCTAATTTTTAAAGGCTGTGGTCCTAAGTAACCTCCTGGGGGCAGCATCTTCAATTTATAGTCTTTCTAGCAAGTGTTAAACTCTAATTTTAGGTTCATTGGGTTTAGTTACATTACATACCGTGATGTTTGCATGTTGGTTTTAGTTCTGTTGTTTGCTACCATGCCATCCACATTTCATGTTATTAGGCCATGCCATTTGCTACTGTTGTTGTCATCATTTCCTTGACAAACTTCACACCATAGCAAAAGGTAACAAAGAACAGCATTTTGGCATCTAGCTTGGAGGCTGCTACTGTTACATATAAACTACATCCAAATCGCCAAGTGTTGTTTAAATTCCACAGGATATATTCAAGAAACTATTAGTACTAGAATCATGAAATAATTAAGAATACTAATCCTCCTGAGTTTTGTTTCTTATAAAAAAAGCATGTAGGGAATCACCAAAGGAGCTAACTAAAAGTCATTGCAACCAGAAAAACAGGAAAGATAAGCTTATCAATGGGCCCCAGGGAAAACGAAGGTTTCAAAAGGTAAAAAACAGCACAAAGGCAATCCCTTGGACTTCTTTTTGGGGACAACTAGTGACAATGTACAGTCAATTTTCACCACTCTCCATCACAGAGGCATTTGTTGGTAACTGAGCTTTCAAACGAGCTCTCTCGTCGCTTCTAGCTCTGACAACTAAACTAGCCCTGGCAAAAAAGGTTAGCTGCTGCCACAGCCTCTGCGACTGAGAGTGAATTTTCACTGAAAGGTCAAGAGGGGGAACAAAAAGCATTAAAATGGTGTTGTAATCGTAGATTGCCGTTCAACACGATTGAGGAAAATTTATATAAATCCAACTCCACTTCATACTATTTACATTTACAACAAGACTATTTACAACGTTTATTTACAAGCATAGCATGATTATAGAACTTCCACTCTAACGACCTTACTAGTGAACACTACTCGCCAGCACTAACTCGACTCTAACTCGATCTGACCAAAGCTGACTAATCATGCAAGAGCCGTCACCATTACTAATGACTACTTCTCAACAAATGGTGCTCCAAGTTGAATTTTGTACCAAAGTCTATACCTAATAACAAGTGCAAAGTTTTCTGAGGAGTTCTTATTCTTGGCCAAAGTAAAATCTCCTTTTCATATTTGTCCCACACCCCCCCTAGTTATGACTTCTTTAAAATGGCCCTGACCGTTAACGTACAAGCAAGGTGCAAAATAGAATAGCTTGCCACGGACAACACGTTCAGAAAGTATTGTCCTCTATCATACTTAGAGCAATTTTCACTATCAAGGGATAGTTGATGGCCCAAAGAAAAAGGACCATTATTCAAGAGAGACAGCACAAGGAATGTGCACATACTACACAATCAAAAAATCGGCAATATTTGAAAAATCCACTTCTCCCTAAACAACTATTTTAACAAACTTCCACAAAGAGCCATCATGAACGTAATAGCCATAACATTTCTGTAAGTCCCCCCTCCCCTCCCCATCTTTGATTACGTAATATATGAACGTCCCCATACCCAATATTTTTTCCATACCCAGCACATCGATACTTTTATCCAGTTACAACGATTGTGATTGGAAGGAGTACAGGGTAGTGCTCAATTAATTTTTCCAAAGTGTGAGCCCTCAGTTATTGGAAATCAGGCACTAGGAATAATTTCCATTAGTTATAAGTCAAAAAACTAATATGGTTAGTCATAAGTCATTGGTTTCACAAAATTATTAGTCATTAGTCAGTTGGCAAACAGTCTGCTAGTTAGCTAATGAAATCCCTTACTACCCCCTCAAGAGATATCGAATTAGTGTATGACGTACTTGCTTTAAAAAATACAAGCTAACCAGGTTTGCAGTGAGAGTAGGCTTTCTGACTTTTACCACATTTACTTCTGTCAATAAAACAAAATATAAAACAATTTTGAAAATAACACCAAATTTGAAAATTGATTTGAAAAATGCAAACATTCTAACTATATCAAAATCTTCTGAACCTCTTCAGAGTATCGAATGTCAGAATTAGGGTCTGAAATGGAGGATAAATACCCATTTGTGGATCGAATTTTCCATCTTGTTCTTTTGGACCATTTTTTTGACCTTTTATACTCTGAGGAGTTTCAGAAAAAAAGCTTTTTAGTATGTTTAAAATGTTTGCTTTTTTCAAAGTCATTTTCAAAATAAAATATGTTTTTACAAGGTTTTCAGAAAATCTTGCATAATTTGCTGATCAAAATTTTGTCTTCAATGAATTAATAATAGCAAAAATTGGGAAACTTTGCAATTGACCTTGATATTGCTCAACTTAAAGGTGAAGCTAAACTTTTTATGCAAACGTACTTTAGACAGGAGGTCAATTGATGATTGTAATTATTTTAGTTCTGTGCAAAGAATAGTTGCCTTTCAAAAATTTTCAAGTTTGTGAAAGAAATAACTTGAAGCAGAGGGCGCACCGGGAAATTTTTATTTTATTCTATATTTTATTATACAACATCCTATTTTACGTTATATTCCAGTGCTGTCGAAACGAAGTTCAAATTGAGGGGGGGGGGGGGGGGGTGCTGTGCTGCCCATCGTATACTTTCTCATTCATTACACTCTTTTAAATGATATATAATACAGCCCTCCCCCAAGTCTCCCTGCTTCCTACTGCTCTGAAACTTGCTGACTTTTTCTTTGGCAACCTTAAATCAGTCTCAAGTGTTCCGGAGGCTGCGGGAGGAGCATGCTGAGTTTTTGATGAAGAGGTTACATAAGTATTGAGGAGCCAAATCATAGAGGGACTTGAAGACCACTGTTTTAGTCTCATTGCCAATGAGCTCTTCAATGGTCTTCCAGCCCAACTCTGCAATAAGTGGTCTGCTTGGGGTATCAAAGCTGCTATTTGTTATGATCCTAGCAGCACGATTTTGAAGTTTTTGTAACTGGTCGATGTCTGTAGACCCAGCACAACCCCAGACAGAACAACAAGTGTCGAAAGTGGGGCTCCACAGTGTAAAGAGTTTTCAAACTTGTCATAGACAAAAAGAATCTAGCATGTCTCAAAAAGCCGATCGCTCTGGAGACCTTGGTGGAAACTGCCTTAATTTGCTCTTTCCCATCTAATGAGCAAACGATTTGCACTCCAAGGTACTTTGTCTTTTGAACTGCTTCGAGCACATTGCCGCGTATCTTCAGTTCCAAGGCTTCATTTCGAAAAGCCTTTTTGCCTGGTGGATATGAGCATTGAATGAGTTTTTGTCACATTCAATGAAAGCTTATTGCCTTGCAACCAAGTTTCCAATTTCTTGAGATCGCTATTCAGCCGAGTCAAATCGTGAGACTGGTGACAAAGACTGATATCATCAGCATACATAGTCACAGAGGAATCTTGGATCGCCTGTGGAATATACGAGAAATAGAAGAGGGCCAAGGCATGAACCCTGTGGAACTCCCACTTCTATTTCCCTGACATTTGAATCAACACCATTAACCCTACAGAATTGTTGATAAGGTACGTGATACAGCTCTGCGTGATAAGATATCATCTCGGGATATTATACGGCTCTGCGTTCAAACGTAGAATGAGATACGGAGGTGCCCACCCCTCGTACCCTCTAAATGGAAAAGGGTTGGGGATATTTCCAAGGAATAAAGCTCATCTCGTTGCAAGCCTGAAGGCCGGTTTCCACTTGATTCGCTCTGGTCGCGCGACTAAGCGAATGCACATTTGAGCATGCGCAAGTCAAACTTCCTCATTCGCTAGGAAAGCGAGACCGTTCGCTGAGTAGTTCATCTCAGTTGAACCAAGTTGAACTACTGAGCGACTGGTCGCGTTCGCCGATTCGCTGGTTTTTTTATTCGCTTTTGCCAAAGCCGCGCGACCAGGGCGAATGAAGTGGAAACCGGCCTCCCGGGGGGAGGGGTGCTCCTATAATGGCCTGACAGGGGGGTCCGGTGAAGGTCAAAGAGAGCCAACGCTTAAATTTGAGAAAATTACCCTCAAATAGTACTACTTTTTGACAAAACCACTCAAACGGTAGCATAAAAACCAAAATTATTTCATTGGTAGTATCCATTTCTTTGTGCTCTCCTGGTCCTTTTTTGACAAATTTCTTCATAATTGATTGTTGTTATTTCGGGAAAGATAAATCTTGTTCTTTATCTATAACAAATCGCAAGCTAAACTTAGCAGTTCAGTAATTATCGAAAATGGGCCATTTGGTAGCCATTTGGTAGCCATTTGGTAGCCAAGACCCTCAAACGGACTGGACCCCCTTGTCAGGCCTTAATGGGAGTACCACCCCCACTGGGACCGGCCTTCAGTTATTGTTGCTCATTTTAACATACCTTGCTTAATCATCTCCATTGGCAGGGGCGTTATTGATAGGCTGGACACCGGGAAATTTCCCGATGGGCCTCTTTCAAGTGAGTTTGTAAAACCCATGACAAACAGGCCTCTGTGGAAGAGATGCGTGGAATATGAACAGGGCCGCCGAGAGAGGGCAAGCAGGGGCAAACTGCTCCATTGCCTTGAGGTCTAGATTGCCTTCTATAGCAAGGAAATTCCAATTTAAGGGAGCAGCGTTGGTAGCGCTCGGGGTCAAATAGAGGACGAGGTCAAATAGAGAAATCGGGGTCATATAGGGAAATCGTTAATAACTCCAACAATTGGACTGACATCTTAAAACAAATCGCAGAATCGGATTTGGCACGCTTTAATCTACCTTTTCGAAGCTTTTTTAATTCAACTACGGTAATTTTAGCATTATAAATCGCAATGTTTTTCTTCTATGTTAGCTTGAGGCGTGGCTCCTCCGTAGCTACGGGAGCAAATAGACAAAACTCGATAAAAAAGCATCGTTTTAATTCAAAATAAAAAGCAAAAGGAAGAAATCGCAAAGAAAAATACACACTCTCTTCATATCAATTCAAATTTTAAACATCCTGCACCGAGGTTACAAGATTTCTCGAAATAAATCAGCTGAGTGTTCGACGCGCTCGGGGTCAAATAGGGAAATCGCCATTTGGGGTCAAACAGGGAAATCTTCAACAACAGCAAGGAAAAAACATGAAACAGAAAACTAACCTCATTTCAGCACGTAAAATCACCCAATCTATTGTTTAAACTATTTAGCTTGCTAGAAATCAAGGTATATCACTAGATAAATTCATATCAGACAATGAATCACACAAATTTAGGCCCTTGTTTACAGAGAGCTCTCCTTCGCAGTTTCGGGGTCAAATAGGAAAACAGTCACCGGCGAGAGAGGGAGAAACACCTTGTCATAGCTGGGATAAATAGGAAAAATTCAATAAACATCTTTAAAATTCGCTTTTGGCCCGAAATCATAAATATTCTAAGGATAAAGTTGAAGACTTTGATGTTTGCTGGGCGGTATTTTTTAATCACATTTGAGGATGTAAATCTTGTCAGAAAATTTGTTTACTTACATTGACATTTACAATAAGTTCCATCAATGTAGGACAGTTTCCAGAATTGCAGCTCTTTCCTACTTTCATGTTTATATTTATACAATATGCGATTTTCAGGTGAAAGTTCCAAGACAGGACTGTTCTTGTTGTCTCTATTTTTCAAACACAGCTATACCATTGAAGATATTACGTTTTCAGATATCATATTTTCAGAACTTTATTCCATGACAGCGTTATGAAATTTTCTTTGGCAAACGCATCTTCTCATTTGCCTCCAAGGTTAACCCCCGGAATTTGTAAGATATCAGATAAAAATACCCAATTTAAAGACATTTTTATTGCCATTAAAAATCTTCTATACTTTCTATCTTCAGTTTGTATACGGTGAAAATACGACATATTTATGTATTGACATTTTTCGATGGGATAATTCACTTCTCAATAAAAATTTGTTGCGGATGATTTTTTAGGAGTGTATTTGATGTTAGCCTGTGTCCCAGACCCCTAACTTAGGGGTCTGGGACTCAGGCTAATTTGATGTCAGCTTCGTTTTGAAAAACTTAGAAACGCTTACTTCAGTGTGGAGTATAGAAACATTTTCATTTGGCATTTTTTGCCTGAGTTGGAATTTTTAAGACTTCTCGATAATCCTTGTGTGACATGGATTCATCCCAGTTTTTCAATGGTCTTAATGACGTTCTTCTGCTTACTAAATTGGGTGCATATAGATTTAGTTAAAATACCATCCAAATAGCAAATAGCTAGAAGGCAGCAATTCAAAGTAAATGGCTTGCCTAGTTGAAAATTAAAACAAAGTGTGCGTTGATCTTGCTTTCGCAAATTTTCCGCTTGTTCTTAAAAGGTCTAGTTAAATCTTATCATTATAATACCAGACCCGGGTTTTTGGAAGGGAAGGCAAAAAAAGCAGAGCCACAAAATCTCTGGCAGATTTACCACTGCATCTCAAATGAACCTTCAATGATAAAGACTTTAAAGAAATTCACGTATATGGTTTATTGTAAATTTAGTGTATAGTTAGTGTTTTAATATAACTATTTTACTTGTAGTAACAATGGTCCTAATAAGGCAGCTTAGTGGAATACAACTCGAGCCTTGAACGAAATAATTATTTTCAGTATTATGCTCATTTTATACCTCTAAACAGCAATGAGGGTTTCCGGGGTTCCCTGTATAATTACAAGGGAATGAGGGTTTCCTGGGAAAATGGATATTGGCGCCTATGTTTACATTAAGCGACGGATTTAAGCAACAATGATTGTGGGTTGTTAGACACTAATTCGATTGTAGTGCCACACCCTTCAGGTCACTGGTAAATGATGGAAACACCAGTTTTTACAACTTGGTTTTTATCTTTAAGGTTTAGAAGATAAGAAGCAGTGGCGTAGCCAGTGTTGGAAGATTTGAGGGGAAAAGAGGAGACAATTTTTGCTACCCACACCCTTAAGAATTTGGGAAAGCACCCAATTTTGTAAAGGCGTTTGGAAAAGCAATGACTTTTTATTTGGCAATAGTTGGCTAATCAAACACAATAACCGTCATATGTAGCTTTTTGTGGCTGACCCCGTTCTACAACTGTCTTTTTCCTTCACAATTCCTCTTACGTTTATATTCTGAATTGTATAAGGCGAGAAAGCTCTCCGTGTAAAAACTTGTTTTTCCAA